CTTTCTACACAGCATTAGGACATCAATATGTATCAGAAAACGTAAGAAAAATTGGGTGTCATTTTTTAGTCATTTTTCGGAAAAAACCATGGGCTATAGCCTTGGGTATTTTTCAGATTTTTGGCATTTTCTTAAAATGGCCGTAACTCAAAAAATTGAAGTCGGAATTAGCTCAAACTTGCTACACAACATAAGGACATTAATATGTATCAGAAAACGTAATAAAAATTGGGGGTGATTTTGGAGCCATTTTTCTGAAAAAAACCATGGGCTATAGCCTTGGGTAATTTTCAAAAATTGAACCATTTTTAAAATGGTCATAACTCAAAAATTTCTTATCGGAATCGCCTCAAACTTTCTACACAGCATTAGGACATCAATATGTATCAAAAACGTAATAAAAATTGGGGATCATTTTTTAGTCATTTTTTGGTGCCAGTCACCTACAACACAATATTAATTAATACAAAACTCCGCCCATCAATCATTATTAGCCATACCCCTCACCTTCCCAAATAATGTATTCTTATTATTAAGTTCATCAGTTCTTCCCAGCGTTATAAAGAACTGTGAGGTATTATCATTCTTTCCTCCATTGGCCATTCCCACCAGACCACGTCTATTGAACTTGAGTCTCTGATGAAACTCATCCTGTTAATAGAGTGGGTGTGGTTAACGGGTTGTCATGGTAACGATGGACTCACTTTAAATGGCGAACCATAAATAGATTCACCACCTGAAGAGAAGATAAAAAGTATTTGTACAAATAATTATTAATAATTAATACCTTCTCCTGTACCAGTGGGATCACCACCTTGAGCTACAAACTCTAGAGGGGGAGAGAGAGACAGAGAGAGAGAGAGGGGGGAGAGAGAGACAGAGAGAGAGGGGGGGAGAGAGAGAGAGGGGGAGAGAGGGAGAGAGGGAGAGAGAGAGAGAGAGAGAGAGGGAGAGAGAGAGAGAGAGGGAGAGAGGGAGAGGGGGAGAGGGAGAGAGGGAGAGAGAGAGAGAGAGAGATAAAAATTACATGTACATGTAGGAAAGCAATGTAACATCAATAGGTCATTCTACTTAATTAATAATTATAACTCCACCCACTAATTAATAATAATTAATTAATTACCAAAAACGACTCTGTGGAATATGGTATCATTATAATAATCTTCTAAACACAATTGTATGAAGTTACGACAGGCCAGAGGAGCCTCTTTGGACCACAGTTCAATATCAATATCACCCAGTGTGGTCTTTAATAGTACCTGAGGGGAGGGGCCAGTAGTCACTAATACAGCTGCTGCTGGATTAACTACCTTTCCTTTAGTAGGGGGCTCTGTTATATATATGGAACCAAGGAACTCATAGTAGCTGAGCTTGAAGAAATTTTCTGTATACTTTCCGTTTATGTGTGCCTACTCAGTATACTGTAATTAAACCACGTGATTTTGCATTGATAAAATTAAGAATTTTACAACAATCTGAAAAACATACAGAAAAAACTAGTCTGGCAAACATAAAAGTGCATTAAAAGAATATGAGCAGCTAAAGACTTGATGCAACATGCATCACACCATAAAAAGAAATGAAATATGCTACATTACTAAAAAAGAAATCACATACATACAAACAAAATGCATAGGCATGCACACATTACTGTGTGTGTATATAAATCCTAGAGAGCTACTTCTAAGGACACAACTAAAATTAAATTACTGCACAGCATTTTTGTCTAGCCTCAGCCACAGGCTCGCCCCTAGATCCATGAGGGCCTTGACTATTGATATCTCTTTCAATCCCATCAGCTACAGCATTCTCTCCCATCTTCCTCAATGCTTGTATTAATGCATCATAAGTTGGACCACCAACACTCTTTACATCATCTGCTTGCCCTAGCCATTTCTTTAAACATTCTTTTAGGCAGCTACAAACATCATTATTTTCCGCCTTAATAACATCAAGAGTAGAAGAGTACAGTCCCAAACGAAGACCAAGATTATAATAACTGACACCAGAATATTCATACTTCTTTAGTAAATCAAGTATAACAACAAGACTCTTGGTGCCTAACAAAACAATAATAGTGATATTTTGTAGCATGTAGATTAAAGCATGCTATACAATATAATGCTTACCTAACTGCGCTCTGTGTCTCTTAGTAGGTGGACCTTCTAATGATGATTCAGCTCCTAGAATAAAGTATGTTATTGTAATATGAAAAGAATAATAATTGTTATTAGTAATAAAATTGGCATTGACATGAAGTGACATAATAGAATCACTGAAGAGATTTATAAATCAAACTACTTTTCATAGCTCCTTTAAATATATTAATTATATGTCATCATTCTCATTCTTATGCTATCTCTAACCTGGACTGGATGATTGATGATCACTAAACCAACATTTATAGCTATCGTCATCACCTTGCAGTACTTTACATTGTACTAGACAGTGAGTACACCAGGTAGAACATTTATCTTCCTTGACAATGCAAGTGTTTCTGGGGGGACATTTGAAAGCAAAAACAAACTTATTATCTTCTTTAAGTCTGAGATCTTTACAGCTATCTACGACAGCTTCTGAGACTATTTCACGAATTTGTGGACAAATGTCCCTACAATGACCACGAACATGTATTTCAAGATGTGTATAGCGATTGATGATATCAATGTGGTATTCTTCAAAAACACGAAGTGACATTGCATTGTTACATCTGTAATATTTTTTGTCTACTGGACTGAAGCGTATGTCATCTCTTTTCTCTAAAAGGTGTACAATGGTTAAGGGAAATAATCCTTGAGGGATGGCTAGAGTTATTTCATCTCTTTTTTCAATTTTCCATGCTATGAGAAGTGGTTGTATTACTGTTGGAGGGGCTTTAAGCTCACCATGAGATGGTAATGCACATGGAAAAAAATAATCTCCTTCTTCTCTTTTTTTAACTTTAGCAATGATGTGGAGATGTATTAGAAGCTTGATCATGTGAGACGATTCAAAATCAGCATGTTCAAATATTTCTTTACCAAAAGATTGTAAAAGATTTTCATTAAAGAGGCCCAATATTCTCAAATTATCTGCTTCTGTACGGTAGGTGTATGTGCTAGCTATTAGAAGTGAAAGGACATCAAGAATCGGCTTAGGATCAACAAATATTATATTCTCTAAGATATCAGGATAATAAAGAATGATAGTGACGTTGTGTAAATATCGCAGAGCTTTTTCAATATCTGATTCTTCATCAAGTCGGAGAGCCTTACCAATTTCCTTAACTTCTTCTTTTGTAAGGAAGCTTCGTCCCTTTTGCTTAGCTTCTCTTTGTAGAGAAATCTCAAAAACAAACAGGCGAATTGGTATACGAATTGTCATGGCAACTCCAAAACTTGAAATTTTTGTACAAAGAGCTACACTAGCTTCTTCTCTTTCTGACCCTTTGAGCATTGTGTTAACTGGATATATAATATTGTCGTGATCCTGACGATTCCTAATGACTTTTATATTAGCTTTATATTCTTCAAGCAGCACTTTATTCATTTTTTCCAGCTCATCTAGTGTGCCATTCTCTTCCAACTTATCTTTACGTGTGCCAAGTACGAAATAGCGAGGGTGGATATTTTTTTTCTTGTCAGACTCAGAGAGATAAGGAATTTCGATGGGATTAAACATAGCTCCGGAGCTAACTGTTGATTGGATTATATCACGATTGGAATAACTCTGATTTATATTAATAGGATACTCTAATTGATCAAAACGATATTGAAACTCACACTTCTTATCAAGACCTTTGGTAAGATCAATGGTGATGATATTCAGTGCAGCTGCTCTTGTAAAAAGAGGTAGTAACTCTCGATATGCTGGTTGACCACCAGAATCAATAAAATACACCCAATTTGTGCTTAATTTTGCAAACTTTTCTGCTTCAAGAGCACTTACTATTTTTTTAATTACTTCCATATCGGTTGGTTTCTTCTCAAGTGGTTCCTCCTCAATTGGTTTCTTCTCAGGCAGTTCTGCTTCCAGTGAAGAATGCTCTGAACGAACAGATACAGGATTTGCACGCACTGGTGCTTCTCTTATATGCTCTGCTTCATTTAGTGCTTCATTTAAACGAGATGCAAGCTGGTTAAGTAAATCTTCTTCTTTAACCCTCTCCCACTTATTTTTACCATCAATGGATATTCTTGTTGCTTTAACAGCAGGACAAGCTATTGGTGTACTATCAGTGAGTTCATCAGGAGGTGCAGGCGGTGGCTCATTAAGTAGGAGGTGCTGTGTGCATGTTTTACCAGCTCCAGGTGCACCATGCATGTTGATACGAGTGATTTCTAGCTCAACTTCACCTTCTTTCAGCCATTTTTCTATTTTTCCTAAATAAAGTAACACCATATATGAGACAGTAATCAGTAGCAAAGTAATGTGCATACTGCATAGTGTTCACACTAGGGTGGTTCTTGCAAGCCATTATACATACTTTGTGTGGCTGGATTCTGAGTGTCTGGTATTCTGTCAGCAGCTGGAGTAGTCCATATATGTCCTGCAATAATGAAGTAAAATTATTGAGTTAAGCCAAAGGAGTGACAGGATTATCAGTTGTGGGTTGTCTGTAGCTACTATAATAACAATAGTAGTTATAATGTTGCTGTAGTCTAAAAGTTGGATGTTGCAATGGTTATGGTATATTTTAAATCTTAAAAGGATAATACCATGTATTAAAAGTTGGAAAGTTTAGTTGAATTCAACTTCTTGCAAGGAAAAATTGTACAAAGAATACCGTATAGCGGGAAATTTTAGAGGGAATTAAATTTGGCGAATTTGGCATTTCTATGGCCATTTGCCAAAATAAAATCTGTCATTTTGAGCCTATATACGTATGCTCAATGGCACATGGCCACTTACCGTATAGCTAGAAATTTTGGTGGAATAAAACTTTAGTGAATTTGGCAAATTGAGGTTCATTCGCCAATATTTTGACAATTCGCCAAATTTAACTCCCTCTAAAATTTCCCACTATACAGCAATTAGTTACCCTGTGTAAGTCCATCACTTTCCTTAGCATCACTTGCTTGTGGTACTTCAACTCCATCTAAAAGCAATGATACATGAAGCATAACATAAAGAGGATCATATGATGCTGTTGTAAGAGTTACATGTATAATAGGAAAACTTTTAAGATGCATGTTATTACTTTCAATAGCTAATAAGGTTTTTACAAAAATTCCTTAGCTTTCATTACATTGAATTTAAGACATTATAAGCAGTCAAGTATGTTATAATATTATAATACCTTTGTTTTCAGTGCCACTTGTTGTAGTGGAGTCAGATCTTCGCCCTATATAGATTAAAGTTAATTTGCTGGTTAGCTTTTCATTTACCTGTACTTCTAGCTGATTTCTTTCCTTCTGATGAATCTTCTTTTGATAGACTCCCTAAAATGGAGTGTATAGATTTACAATGTACATTTATATTTATGAATATTTGTGACCATAATTGACAAAAGGGCCCTTATGGCGGATTTTAAAATTGATCTTAATAATGGCAAATATCAACCTGTGAGTGCTTTGTTAGACAATCATTGTTTCTAAAAGTTTCATGGTAACTTTTTGCATCCTGTGGAGTAATTTTATGATAAATGGGGCTCAGGAAGTTGGATTTCTTAGGCTAGAAAGACAAATTTCACTACCCGCCATAAGGTACCTTTTGTCAATTATGGTCACATTTAATAATTTTATGCATAGCATATCTCTTGATAATAGCATCATAGATATTATACATGAAACTTGACGAAACCATGTAATATTTATGATAGCATGCACCTACTAAATGACTATATTGCTGTATCTATTATTTGTAATCCAGTAAACGGCAAATAAAATTGCTCCTAATCATAAATCGTTACTCATTTCAATTAGAATGGTGCAATACCACCTGTTGAATCTGCATTCTTTGCCATTGCATGTGCATGACAATAATTATACACTTACTTATATAGTCAGCTTGAGCTTTACAGCCGTTTATTTTGTCAAGAGCATCAGCCAGTGTATCATAAGATGGTTTACCAACTTTATCACTGCCATCAGATCTTCTCAGCCACTTGGAAAGGCATTCTCTAAAGCAATCGTCAGTGACACCTCTTTCATTTGCACTGATCATATTCAGTGTATTAGGATGCAGTCCAAGTGTCCCTCCTAATTTCTTCCATTTAGTCTTGTCAAAACGTGCTTTCTCTAACCGTTGTATCACATTGGCCAACTTATCAATGGTCAGTACTAAAATATGAAGAAATAGTAAATTTAGTACAAAAGTATAATATATGCAACATGAGACAGGTAAGTCTATAGGAATAAAATACATAAGTACAAATGAGTTGAGCTCATCATTCCAGGTGGCAGGCAGATTAGTCATAATAGTCATCTTTCTTACCTTTTTCTTTCCTTTGATGATCATTTGATTTGTTTTGAATGTTTTCACTTGGTCTTAATATCTTTCTATCCATTTGAAGAACTTGACCTAAAATGATAGTTTTAGTGACACTATGTCAGGTTCGAGTCAATGATATTTTGTAAATTAATTTTAAAGGACAAAATAATTATATCTAGTATCTAAATAATTGATAGCTAAGTAAGATGATACTAAATAGCACAAGTTTTAGTACAAAAGATAGATTTGTACCACAAATCTGCATCACTTACCTTTAAACTCTTAAGATACAGCTGCTACAGTGTCTACGTGAGTAGGCGTGTCACTGATAAGATCTAGCCATAGATAATGGGGCATCTATGATCTAGCTAAGCTTTTAAGCTATTATAGTCTTCACCTCTTCATTTCTTGTGTAGTGGAAAGGACCTTATACTTCCCTTCCCCTATCCTGTTGTTACTTGAAATGATAGCAATTATTTACTAGCTCCTGGCACCTCTGCCAAAAGAATATGCCAATGATCATTTTAACTCATAATAATTACTTAAAATTGTACTATGGTGGTATCATTATTAAAGGGTAATATTATAAAGAGTTTTCAGTTTATCAGGTATTCTTTCAGCATCTGCACGATCCTGCTTCCCTCCACAGCGTCTATCAAAGTCTGCCATGTTCTACTAGTTACATTATTTTCTCCCTTCAGCCATGCTTCTATAGTCATCCTCAAGTGCTTATATGCGTCACAACCTCCTTCTCCAATGACATTGAGTCTTGGCAGATATATCATTGTCTACTTCTTCAGATTCAAATATCTCACATATGGTAAGTAGACAGGCATTAGGATCATCGCTCTCCACTTCACTGCTGATTTCCAAATTTAGATTTTTTCTACAAATTTTTTAAGTTGCTCCAAAATTGGGCCAAAGTCCCTGTACTGTAGTACATGGTCTCAGGCCAAATTTTGCCAAAAACGAAAAATTTAAAGTTCACAATTTTTATTACATTTCCTGATTTATATACATGTTTTTATGCTGTGTAGAAAGTTTGAGCTGATTCCGATCAAATTTAGATTTTTTATAAATTTTTAAAGTTGGGCAAATTACCATGAATCCTGCTCAGTCTTGTATTATTGATATGAGGATACTAAAGCTCATCCTTTTAGAAATGGAAACTGGAACTGACATTGAGTTCATCACAACAAACACACAGTAATGCATTACTAAGCATTCCT